TATCTAGACAAATCCATCGCATTTCGGAACTGATGTTTTCTTCAGGGAATAAATAGGTCTGTATTTACTTGATCTGTTAGGTTTTAGACCTGCCAACCTAATACAAAAGTATCGAATTAGGAATGTGCAAAAAAAGACTCGTTACTCACACTTACAATTGATGATCAGAGAATTAGGTGAAGATGCTTCCCGAGTGACACCTGGGAGAGGGTGGGCAGGAACGCCCCTATGAAAAATCCACCAGCAAGGACTGCACTGCAGCAGCCAATAAGGATCTATAGGATGTAGGAGCCACAGGGAAAAGTACTTTTTTACAAGGATCTCTCCTGTACTCACTGTGAAACACTGTTTCTTGCTACTTTTGCCCATGTTTAACATATGGGGTTATTGACCATTGTATATCTGGATAGAGCCCCAATATCAATTTTTGCCTCTGGGCCATATAGGCTATTATTCTCCTGTGGAAAACAGGAACTGTTGGATCCCCTTTATGTGGTGTTTATTGCATCCTATAGATCCCCTTCCTGGCTGCTGCAGTGCAGTCCTTATTGGTGGATGGCGTTCCTGCCAGTCCTCTCCCCTCCCAAGCAGGTCACTCAGGAAGAATCTTCACTCAATTCTCTATGATCATCTTGTAACTATTACCTGATGTGGTGCAACTTAAGTAAGTGTATGAGTAACCAGTTTTTTTTTGCTCATGCTAATTTGATACTTTGTAATATGTTATCTGTATTTACTTGATGTTCTGTTATTTTTAGACCTGACATTTATTCTGTGAAGGAAACATGAGTTCTGAAATACATTGGATTTATCTGGATACTGTCATTGCTCAAATCTTCTTGGGCTGCTAGCCCACTTGTCAGTTGATGTATTACAGACTATCAGGTTATATGTACATTGTATATGTAATTTACTTTTAAGTCATGAATTGCATTGCAGTTCACACTCACTGAATCCCTTGATTCTTTTCATAAAAAAACCCTTTTGCAATAAATGTTTTACACTTTTGTACACACTTTTTGCCTATGAAGTCCCAGGGGGATATCTCCATATCTGCTTTCTGTACTTCTTGGTATAGGTCCCATTCTCCCTGACAAATGGGCTTTCAAGTAAATCTGCCTCCAAGTTTAAAAGACCCCTTCACATGAGCTGCAGAGAAGATTCTATCCTGTGCCCAATGTAAAACTCTTACATTAACCTCAAGTGCCTCCTTGGTGGTTTAGAAAAGCCACTGTGGTCACATTTTCAGAAGGATCTGTAGCTCTTATCCCTGAATCACCAGTTTGAATGCCAGCAAGGCCTCCGACTGCTGAGAAATCCTGAAACTGGAGGAGGCCTGCCCCTGAGCCCACAGATCCCCTAGGTAGGCATCCCACCCCCAGTATGTAGCATTTCTGGTCCTTTTTACTAGAGCTCACTGAACCAAAGATATGCCTTTCACCAACCTCCGTAATTTCACCTACCAATCCAAGGAGGCTCTCATTGAAAGAGGGAGATGTACCATTATATCCAGGGAATTTATCTCCCTGGTACCAGTATAAAAAGAAAATTAAGCTCTCTCAAATGTAACTGAACCCAAGAAACTGGTGTGATGATTGAGGTCATAAGACCCACCACTCAATATTCCTCACTGAACTTTCATGAGCATTCGCTATTACAGAGATGGTTGTACCAACCTTCTGGATTTTTTTCAGAGGAAGAGGAAAAAGAAAAAAAATCATCCAAAATGGTTTGAGTGAGCAGGCAGATTACTTCTGATTATCCACACCAATCAACAGTTTCTGGACCTCCAAGACCTTGTCCTGTTTAATTGCATACAAACAGGTTATCTAGTAAGGGATTAACAAGATGTCCTGCAGGTGAAGGAAGAAAAACCACCTCTGCTAGGACCTTTGTAAAAATCCTTGGGCTTTTGGCTGCTAGGCCAAAAACGGCAGGGCTTGTAACTGCCAAATTCCTTGTTTTGTCAATAATGCAAAGCGCACAAGCCTGAAGCTCTTGACAAATGGGAACATGGAGCTAGGTAGCCCACAAATCCAGTGTCACCAAGAATATGTCCTTCATGAGACTCTCCTTATATTGTATGTTTTCCCATACAGAACAGTGTGTTCCAGAAATTTAAATGCTTTCATGTTTTATGATCAGCTTGTATTTGATTGTTGCATACCATTAATATGTGGAAAGAATCCCTGAAGCAGAACCTGAGCTGTCAGACTGATGAATTTTCAGGGTCCCTGGGCAGTAGAGTGAGAAAAAAAAATTTTGAGAGGGAGGGGCTATAAATTCCAAATCATGGTCTTTTAAAAGTTGCCTCCCCTCTTTACTTTGGCATCACTTAAGATATGTTACAGGATCCTGGTGGAGTAAGTAGCAATACATTTGGATTTGTTGCTGGGCCATCTTTTTAATTGAACCTGGATGAGGGAGCCATCCCTGGGCCAAGTAGATTATCGTGGAAGGGAAAACCATCCAACTTAACCCTAGATTTGAGATCCCACTCCCAGGACCTGATCAAATTCGCTCTCCTGGATGAAGTGACTAATGCTGCAGACCTTGCCGAAGCTTTAACAGTCCTGACAGCTGCATTTGTTAGGTATAAGACCACCATACTAGCCACTGACAGGTAGTCTAAAACCTGCTCTGCTGGAGCTCCCTGGGACAAGTGCCCAGCTACTTTTTCCAACCATAAATCCATATTCCATGCCACACAAGGGGCTGCCAAGGCAGGAGCCATAACAGAGGCGTTTGCATCCAAGGCTCTACGCAAAAGGACCTCCATTTTATGATCTATTTATTCTTTAATAATCTGAGTCCTTAAAAAGGAAACATCCAAACATTTAGATACCTGGAATAAGGCTGTATCCAATTTCAGCATTTAAAAACAAATTTCATCCTCAACCTTTTGAAAGGAAACCTCCAGGCCTTACATTATTCTGTTCTGGATCCTTTCATTTAAGCAGACCCTAAAAAATGATTGCGAGAATGGAAGTACCCTGGCCTGTGGTTTAATAAACCCCTTTACATTCCTGCACAGAAAAGCTTATTTGTTGCCATCAGGGATCTGTTCAGTAGCATACATTGCCTGCAAGAGATTTTCCATGTTTTCAAGAGACATCAGGTGTCTGATTGCCCTTGACTCCCCTTCCTCTAGTTATCCAAGTTCTGAAAGGTTTCCACCTTCCTCATAGTTGCCCTCATCTAAGCTCTGTAAGGATGGGAGACCTTGTAAGAAAAAAAATTACTGAGGAACCCCTTTAGAAGGACCCTCCTGCAAGGAAGATGTTGCTTAAGTGTAGGGGTCTGCCTGCGAAGGGGATTCCTCCTTTGTGGACTTAGTTCCTTCTAATAAAAGGGATTAAGGTAATTGACAAGGCAACTTTAAAAGATTAAAACATGGTGACCATTTCAGACTGCATCATGGACACAAGGTCCTTCATGAAGTCAGAGCCTTCCTTTCCAGCCAGCTTGTGGATGCACTTGCAGAAAAAAAAAAAAAAAAGTCTTAAAATGAGTAGCTGGTAACCTCCCACTGCAATGCCTGGAACACGAGAGGTAACTGCAGAGGAGGCAGCTTACAGCCAAGATGGCCCAGAATACTTCAGCTAGATTAAGCTTCTACAAAAAGCAAGAAAAAAAAAAAAAAAAACACAAAAGTAAACAGTCCCTTGATACAAATCTACCCAAACCTGCCTGACTGGAATGGGAACCTGCTGGTCAAGCCTACAGGACCACCACCTCTAACTGCAAAAAGAGAAGCACTTGCCTGCTGAAAGCTTTACTTTTGCCACAGCTAAAAAGGCATTGCCTTTACATTCTCAAAATTCACAAGGAGGGTAGAGATATTGCATGCAGCCCCAATGAATGCTGTGACCTCTGGAGAGAACTTGTGTGCCACACAATGCTCCTCCTGGAATTCCTCAGCCAACTTAGAGGTAGCTGCTGTGGACACAGGTTCTGCTCATTCGCTGCCAGAAATAGCCAGAGGCCGCAACCAACACCCCCTCAAAGCTCAGACCGGACATTCGCATGAAATACACAGGAAGCAGGACTGCTCAGAGAAGCCAGTTGTGATACCCAATCATATGCCTTGCTCTGAGGGGCTAAGAAGGCATTGTGCTTTCTACATGCGCCTGCAACACTGGTAATGTCAAATGTGGAGTTTAGCTTCATGGAACATATCAATTACTTGCAGCAGAGCCACCAAACTAAACTTCCCTTTTAGAGCGCTTCAGGAGTCAGACCACTGACATTTGGGGCAGCAATCCTGGATCCAAAAAAGGAAGACTCGCTGAGATTTTGTAAAAGCCGTTTCACCAGTATAGTTGCACAGCGTCACATCTGAGGGGGACCATCCTGCCCAATGGCCTTTGGGTCGATAAAAAACAAAAACCAAATTATGCTGTCCTGTGGTAGGAAACACTAACAGAGGACGAAGGGGTGAGTGGGGGTTTTACCTGCCCGTTCAGATTGCATTTCCTGTCAGGGCGAAGCCAATCCTCAAGATTTGCCAGCCTGGAAGGGGATTGGAGAAAATAAAGTTCACTCATCACCTGTAATATCACATTGTGGTTCAATGATCCATTTACCAGTCCTTCATTTCCCTTTCTATATAGTTTCTACAGTCTCTTTGCCTCTTTGGAACGGTGTAAAATTGGGCATTTTAAACTCAATTGAAGCAGTGGGTCCAAAAACCATTTTAAAAAAAGACCACATTAGGTCTCTGGGCTGCTCTAACTCCAGGGACAAAAAAAAAAATTTAAAAAAAATGTAAGTTTTATTATATTAATAGCAACTTATTTTACCATATAAACATTTCAGCTGGAGCATAATCTTTCACATGGAAAACAGCTGTGCCCTCCAATTTAATTCCATAAACCTGGTGAGGAATATCAAGGAGTAAAAAAAGCAAGTGGCTTAAAAAACAGTTTGGCAAATTCCATTTTGTTGTGAGTTTAAATTTTTTGTACAAGTGATTGCAGTGGAAAAAAATTATATAGTACCATAGTCCATCTAATCTGAGGGCCCATATCCCTGAAATACAATGTAGCTGTTGTGCCAACTGGTAGGTCCTGCAGTATTTCTTCATCCTTCAGTGATCTGCCTTCTGTAACAAGCATAGAAGAATAATCACTTGAAAAAAAGGTAATAAATTTGATTCAGCTGCCAATGTAGTAGGCAAGCCTTGCAATAGCAGCAGGAAAAAGAAAAAAAATGGCAATTTATAAAGAGTGCATTCAGTTTTCCTTCCATGCCACAGACTACCATAAAACTGGATATTTATTCTATTTAAGCTTGCGACTATGGAAACATTAAAACGGTCTTAAACCCAAAAACCAAAATGTAATATCTTGCAGATTACCAGGTGTGGTAGCTCTAGGTTTTTTTTTTTAGGCTTGGTTTCGTTTTTACCTTGTAATTGGAACACTTTCTGTATTAGGCTCCATGCACACTGGGCATCTTGATAACGTTGGTAACATTAGCTGTGTAAAGTTGCATTAAAACGTGCGTTTTTCAGATTTTTTGCATAAGCGTTTAGCCGCATTTACCGTTTTTGGTAAAAAAAAAAAAAAAAAAAAAAAGTCAAAAGCCAAAACCCATCAGCTGTAAAAAAAAAGCGTCATCTAGTGTGCATGAGTGCTTCCACTCTAAGCAACTCATGGTGTATGGAGGATCAACAGAAACAACTTTGGAAAGAAACTCAATCTGGGTGAAGCACCGTGAAAGATGCGCTAGCAGATTTAAATGGGCTTATCTTTTACTTGGATATGGCTTTAATTTGTTAGACAAGTCCATTTAAAAAAATGCCCATTGACAGGATGACTCAGTGAACTACCACAGCACTAAACAGAGCCGTGGTAGTTCATTGAGAGCTACTACATGCCGACAGCTGCAAAGAAAAATGAATAAAGGCTAAAAATTGTAATCAGCCCTGTCAGTGGTAAATGGTTTGCCTCAACTAAGTGCCACTTTTGCTGGACAGCTCAGTCTGTTAAAAAATTGGAAACTAAAAAAAAAACAAAAAAAAAAAAAAAAAAAACACACAAACTACTTACTGTCAGGATCAACAGGAAAGCCAAAAAAGAAAAAAAAAAACCCCCACCACGAATGCAGCCACTACATTTTAGTTTTTAGGTTTAACACCCATATATCCAATTCATTTACTCATAAAAAGGAGAAGAGTACTTAAAGACAAAGTGCATTTATCCTTCTTGCCCCTTTTCCCTGACCCTGCTCATCCTCTCCATATGCATATCACGAATTCAAAGGCCATAGCCACCAGTATGTTTATATCTCACACCACACCTTCTGTTTTAGCCTTGCATGAGCAGTGCATTCCTATAGATTTCCATGGGACCATCTTCTGATGCTGGAGATGCTCAGGGTAGATCCATAGAAAGTTTATTGGGAGCACAGCCAGAACAATACAGATCTGTGGCTAACTGGTTAAAACAACACCTGAGGCTGTGGTCATCAGATAGAGGCAAGCATGTATCTAGGGAAGGTGCCGTACTCACATTACAAGTTCCTGTTAAATTCCTTAAGGGGTGTCCATGCATAAATCATGTTGTTAACATTCATGCAGTGGTTTAAAATAAAATAAGCGCTGTCAATGCTTTGCTGTAGCTCCATCCCTGTGTGCAGCCCTATTTGTGGGTGTTCCTGTGGCGGCTACAGTACCCAGCTTCCTCTAAGACACAATGTTACATTCACCATTATGAATGTTCAGCACTGCAGGGCTGTGTGATGAAGCTGCCAATAAACAGACAAGGCACTGCGATATCACAGACTTAGACTATTCATAATACTAAAAGATCAGTCAGCACTGGCAGGGCTGTGTGATGCATCTGCCTGTGCAGTCAATATTTACTAGCAGTGTGCAACCCCACCACACCCCACCAACGCTGACTGCTCATTCATAAAAGCAAACCTTCAGTCAGTGCTACAGGGCTGTGTAATAGAGCTGCTGATCATAAGCATCTACTGCAGATACATGCCTCAGCAATGCTGACTGATAACTTACTCTTGTTCATTAACAGTCAACACTTGCAACACCCCCTGGTGTTCTGACAGAGCACCCCTACTGTTGGAAGGCTGACTCCAAGTCTCCTTGCTAGCAATATAGTCAAAACTGAGGAAGCAGAAGGCAGAATAGTCTGACCATACTGCTCAGCAACCAGGGGGATGAATCAAAATGGGACCATTTTGCCCCATAGGGGATTTAAAGAATTTCTAAATGATGTCTTTAAAATTGCACATACCCTATAACTGGTTTATTACTGGGGCAAGAAATTGCAAATCTAGTCATCACTTGCAATATCTATTAATTTGTGAGAACTAGCTGATGACTACTAACAAGCTTGCATAAACAGAAGTGCTTATTGCTTGCAGGTATACTTCAGTAGTTAGAAATTTCTACCACTGCTGAAGGTAAAACAGAATAAAACATAAACCGATTCTAATGCAAATGGTACTTAATCTGTTAAAAGGGAAACCATATTTGTTTTGGGTCAATTTTGTTTAATTTATGAAAAAAAAAAAAAAAAAATTGGTTCTTTTTTGTTACAAATACTGTATACATAGTAAAAGAGTACCAGGGTGCTACAACTTGGCTAAAATAAGCTGCAGAGCCGCTTGCTCTGAGCGCCAATTTGTCTAATAGAAACTAAGAATGGAGTCAGTGTGTAGGTAGGCTGTCTATTAAGTTAGTTGATGCCCTAGCCAGGGACGGATGGTGTTGGCATCCTCTGCTTCCATTCCCAGGGTGTTGTGGTTTGGGTCCAGCCCACTAGTCCTGCATGGTTCTAAAAAGGGATGCAAGTCCAGGATCAGAGTGCACGGCATATCAGTCAGCCCATCTGTCTGGTTGGCATCATCAGTCCCAATTCCAAAAAGCACCTGCCTGGGTCAGGAAACCTTCCACTATGTAGGGAGATTGCAGGAACCTGAAGTTCACACTTAGAACACCAGCATCTGGATTCTGCTACTATGGACTTGGTCATGGACTTCACCTGTGTAGGTATGCATGAGCAGCCAAAAGCTTGAGTTAGGGACTAGGGTATATAGAAGGAATTGCACTTTCTTGGAACCATTATGCCAAGAAGCTTCAGTAAAGCCTTTGAGAACTTTGCCTATGCCTGGTCTGAAGTTATTCAAAAAAAAGGAGTGTATGCACGTAACTGGCACACATGGTTTCCAAACTGGGTCAGTAGGCATATTAGGGTGTGAAGACAGCAAGAAGTTATAAAGGGAAACTGTCTAGCAAGGAGCCTGTCAAGCAGAGTGGCATCCTCTCGTGGCAAGGAGTTACCATCAACTCCCCTGGTGGTCCATCTCCCAAAGCAACAGGAACAGATCAGAATGCAAAGATCCCCGGCCTCTGCACAGGTACAGAAGAGGAAGCGTTGAGTGCACACATGGGAGTCCATGCTATGTGCACAGCCAGACTTCATTTTGTTACGGGGGGGGGGGGGGTGAGGTGGCAGAGATACGCTGGACAGATGGAGCAGGCATCAGGACATTAATGAACCCAGCATAAGAAAAAAGGTGCCCCATGTGACCAATCTCAGGTGCCAAGCTTACCCAGAACCACCCACTCCCAGTTGGTACTTTTATGTGAGCCACACTTTGCACCCAACGAGGAGGGAAACATGAAGTACCATCCATCTACCTTCTGCTTACAAGAGGTATGAGTGCGAGTCATTGAGCCATGCAAACTTGTTTCATCAAAAAGGAGCAAACATACTGCTTTGGACAGGAAGATGAGCCGAAAGCTTTACCTGCTGGCTCAAAAAGCAGTAAAAAAAAAAAAAATATAAAAATTTATGCAATTTCATATTCACCTGACTAAAGCTTTTACTTTTTTTTTTACAGAATACACATTTGTTCTGACTATAGTAAATATGTAAACATTTATACAACATGTAAACACACACAAAAGTTTAATATATAATATATATATATATATATATATATATATATATATATATATAAAAAGGATGTTTAAACGAAGTTGACCTGCAACCATCACCTTTTATTAATTAAAACTGATCACTATGAAACATTTTAAAAGAAGAAATGAATTTCCCAACATACTGGGTTCTAACCGTATCGACTGTCTTGATGGATACCACTTAGGATCTGAAAAAAGACACAAGCATTAACCATTTCACACTGCAGAGAAAACCACAGCTGTATTCTAAAATAGATTAATCTATTTTGCTTTCATTCCTTACAATCCACATAACATACATCATAGTGAATCATCTGTAATTTATACTGAAAGACTTGGATTTGCAAAATTTTTTTCCCAACATTTTAAGTCACACAACCAATTTGGATGGTAAAATTGATAAGCGAGTGTCACTTCATTTTTCATTTAAATGCATCAGCAGAATGCCCAGCTATATTGCTGAATTGGTTATTGCACAACTCCTGCTATTCAAGAATTTTGATGGTAAAAAGCACAGTGAAGTAAAGAATTGATGGCACTTAATGTTTATAGCTGACCTGAAAAGAAATCATGGGTCACATACTCCACAACAAAATGCTATGCTATGTAAGAAAAATGATTTAAAATCAACTCTAGTTTGAGCTAGAAACCAGCTTGCATCGATAAGTGTTCTGCTGATGTGTTAGACTGATATTTTGGATATGTTGAAGACTACTAATGTCATTTGGTCCTTCAGCTTTCCTTATTGGCTAGCATTGCTTTTGGTATTAATGTTTATTTCTTATCACTCTGCTAAATGTCAAAAGGACTACTAACCCTAAGGCTAACTATACACAGAATTTTAACTCATTTCTGATTTGTGGCCATGTCAGGATCTTCTGCACTCAATATTCTTTATTCTGAAAATCAAAGGAGCCAAGCAGAAAATGGTTGGCAAAAAAGAAGCTGTATCCAATTAGATGCAACAACAACTTTTGTTATTCTGACAGCCACAGATACAATGCAATACAGAATACAATAGTCAGGAGGAAAGATTTGTCCATCCACACTGTTTAACATTGACAAAGGAATCTAGAGAATACGCTTCAGTCCACAGGGTTGACAAAACCACAGTATGGCCAGCCTTGAACAATCTCTAGAATGCTTGAAGAGGGAGGTTAGAAATTTGATCCCTGTCCGTAAAACAAATGGCACAACCGTAGATTCATGCAACTGTCAAACTGTAACGTGGACATAAAAAGGCAACATACCCCTGTAAAAATGCCAGGTTTTGGAAAAAAAAAAAAAAAAAAAAAAAGTTAGACCAAAATAAAACCTTAAGAATTTCCACATTTAAGGTGACATAACTCAATTAAAAAAAATTAAGTTTATTGTGAGGAAAAGAAACCCCTAAATATAGAAGTTTAACTATTTTAAAAAAGAGAAAAAAAAAAAAAAAAACCGCAACTGTAGCATATACAATTGCGACACAAGTCATAACTGATTAAAAATAACCTTTCCTTTTCAATCTGCAGCACTGTAAGCTTCTGTAAGATGCAATATGGCTACCTGGAGGAATTCTGTAGACTGTGTACAGAACGCACCCCAGAATTGTAATTTCTTGCTTCAGTGATTGGCTCACAGATTTTCCCCCGGAAAACTGCACCAAGTTACACATTAGATTTTGATCATACTCCCAAAATTAAAATGTATAAAAAAAAAAAAAAGCAAACCCTGACACTTTCCTCATTAAAACCCAGCAGGTGCAGCAGCTGATAAATTATGAAACCACTCCGATACAGATTCACTCCGCAAATGGGACAGACAAACCGCTATATTTTCAGAACAAAAAAAAGTGGTAGGAATATTAAATAATGTTGGTTAAAATCCTTGCAATGTACATAGATCACCTAGAAGGGAATTTTGTCAGCAAAAGTAGAGTTACTCATTAAGCATCCACATTGAAATTGTTAAACAGTAGTCAGCCCACACCTGCAACCAAGTCCATATAAATGTAGCATGCCCCAGCATTAGGGAGGGTTGACATTTCATGGTTGAAGAAAAATGGATGCCAATCACTTTTAGGCTGAACAAAAGCAAGTTTTATTATGCACAACAAAATTCCGGGAGAGGAGGGTTGGGGCACAGAACACCCTAGGACAGTAGACAGACCAGCAGACTCCTTAGAAAAAAATAGCCAGACAGCAGTACAGAAAAGAGCCTTTGACCTGCACCCAGACAGCAGTACAGAAAAGAGCCTTTGACCTGCACCCAATGTTCTTTACCTCTGAAGCAACAGCAGTCTCCTAAAGCAACTAAACTCATGGTACCATGCAGGGATTCTTTGGATGAGTCTGCCTTGACACTTCCCAGACTCTCCACAGTCCCTGGCTCATGGTAGAGTCACCTCTGGTACTTGGAAGCTCTAATAAAATGTTTAACGATGGAGCAGCCTGGTAGTGAAGGGAGAGATTGGCCGATCATCAAGTCATGCCTGCCAAAAGAGAAAATTTGTTGGGTTTGTCTTCAAGCACCGCCCTCAATTTTTTGTCTATAAAGAAAACCTGGATCCTGCACTTGACTTTCAAAATTCAGAGATATTGACTTCCACGCATAGGCTATAGTCCATTTCATTGCCATATTTAAAAAAAAAAAAAAAAAAAAAAAAAATGCATGACCGCCGTGGAATGTCTGCGCAGTCTATGGAGACGTCAAGAGACTTAGGCGATGCAAGATTTTGGATGAGATTAGAAAATGGCGCAGCTGCAAGTAGTGGAAAAACTCGTTATGGGGAATGTGAGGATTTTCCCTAAATTGCTGAAAAGTGCAGGGGCCTGTCACAGTCAGTACAGAATGGACTGTTGTAAAACAGCTGGAGATTCACCATGAGAAAGCAGGTTTATCAGCTAATCACATGGCAGCAACAATGCATTTAGATATCTAGACAGGGTGGTGGCTACTTGAAGTTCAGAGCATCAGAATGGGGATTTAAGTGATTTTGAATGTGGCATGGTTGCTTGTGCCAGACAGGCTGGTCTGAGTATTAAAAACACACACACACACACACACCACAATTTTTTGTTGCTTTACAGCCTGAAATTTTTAAGGGGACAGCAGAGATTACGCCCGGGTTAAACAGACTGTTGGAGTATTACACTGTGACCCCAGAGCGCACCAGGCGCGCTTCCGCGACCTTCCCTTACATGCTGAGCTGTCCTATAGAATGTATGCACACAAGATGTCGCAGTTCTGTTGGCGGTGGCTAGAAGGGGAACAGGCCGACACCGTGGTAGAACAGATTCAGGCCTTCCTGAAGGAGAAATTCTACAACCAATGCCTGGCGGAGGGGTAAGAGAAAGAGCCCCTACCACCCTTGCGAAGGCCGCTGCCCTGGCCAACGAGATCCTGGCCATCAAGCCCCATTGGAAACAGTGGGCCCCTGAGCCAAGGGTCCCACGCCCCCATCCGGCCACCTCCCCATCCTGCCACTACCTCTGCCAAAACTGCCCCCATGGACTGCCGCTGCTATGGGTGCAACCAGCCGGGGCACCTCCAAGCCAACCGCCCCACCTCCCGAAGCCATCGCTTCAACCGTCCGGTCCACTACCTACAGCTACACCGTGCAGAAGAACCCCTGCCCCGCCTCCCAGCGAGTGGATGAACCCCCCAGAAGCCAACAAACCCCAGGGAGTCTACAGTGTCCACCCGCAGGGGGCTACATACCCCGCCCAGAAGCAACACCACCTGCAGGCTCTGCGGGTGGATGGACACCCCGCCACCAGTTTGAGATACGGGGGCCTTCTTAACCATCGCCGACCGAGTGAACCGGCCGGAAGCCATCCAACCCAGCCCTGGATTCACCATCGAGCTGGCAGGAGGAGCCAGACATATCCCCAGGGCATCCGTACACCGACTACGGATTTGGGGATGAACAGTGCCAGATCAGTGTCATGGGCGGCCTAACGGTGGATGTTCTGCTCGGGAAGGACCTAGGGGAGCTGCGATGCCAGTATGTCGGGGCGGTGACCCGGAGCCAAGCAGGTCGAGGACTTCCCACAGACTAAACCACCACGGGACCTTCCCCCCGCATGGACTCGACGAGTGACCCCCCCACCTGACCCAGACATTTCCCTGACCTTGGACCGGGAGACCTTTAAGAAGGAGGTAGCCACAGACCCCACCTTGACCAAGTTTAGGGTCCAGGCCACAGCAGGGCGGCAGGAGGGGGGTGGAGACCAGCTTTGGTGGGAGCAGGGGCTGTTGTACCACCAGGCAGGCCCAAGCAGCCCGGGCCAACCCCATGCTATCTCCAAACAACTGGTGTGGTGCCTAGACTGTTCAGGTTCCAGCTACTCCAGATAGCCCATGACATTCCAGTAGCCGGCCACCTGGGTAAGAGGAGAACAGAGCAGCGACTGACCCAAGCCTTCTAATGGCCAGGCATCTCCCAGGCAGTCACCCACTTCTGTCGAACCTGTGACACCTGTCAGAGGAAGGGACACCAAGGGGTCCACCCCAAGACGTCTCCGCCCCTTACCCATCATTAAGGGCCCTTTCAGCGGGTAGCTGTAGATATCCTGGAACCCCTGGCCCGCCCCAGTAAGTCTGGGAAGCGGTACATCCTCACAGTGGTGGATTATGCCACCATCTACCCAGAGGTTGTCCCCCTGTCCAGCATCTCCTCCCCTAAGGTGGCCGAGGCCCTAGTAAGTTTTTTCCCGGTTGGGTTTCCCCAGCGAGATCTTGACTGACCAGGGTACCCAGTTTATATCCAATGTGGTCCAATCCCTCTGGCGCACGTGCGGGTTACGGGCGATCCAGACCACTCCCTATCACCCCCAAACCAATGGCCTCTGCAAGCGCTTCAATGGAACCCTGAAGAGCATGCCGAGGTCCTTCGTTGACGGGGAGGCATACTCCCTCACCTGCTGTTTGCATACCGGGAGGCACCGCAAGAGTCAACGGGGTTTTCCCAGTTTGAACTCCTGTACTGGCGGAAGGTCCGCAGTCCCCTTTCCCTGCTCCAGGAGCATTGGGAAGGGCAGATAGGAGGACACTGGTACCCCCAGTCATCCCCTACATCCTCGAGCTGCGGGAAAGACTGACCTGCCTGCCGTCGCCACCTTTGGGCAGCCCAGACGAATCAGAAGGTGTGGTACGATCGCAAGTTCACTGAAGAGCAGCAGGTGCTCAAGAGAGTCCCTAACCC